TAAACTATGAAGAGACACCGGCACATGATAATATTATTTACGCCGCCAGTATGTTGAGACAATTTTAAAGCGTCTCTTAGGGTAAGCCTCCTGTTTTGCTGCGCCGACGCTGCGTAATGCATTGACAGACAGTCAATTCGCAGTATGGCAAAGGAAAAAGGAAAATGGTCTTTTCGCGGATCAAACAGACGTCTAAGCTGTCGCAAGTGAGTGAGAGTGCGGATGGGCTGGCAACGCGCCTAGGTTCCGACCTTTGGGAAATTTCACTGCATAGCATCTGAAACTACAGTGGTTGTCAGAAGCATGCTGGCTGGATAGTTCGCATTAGGGGACATCTACAGTAGTTGTGATTGGGTTTCAAATCTCCTACAGATGCCCCATGTCTAGCTACCAGTGAAACTCTATGTACATGCTAAGCCCGCACACGCTGTGTATCCATGCATACCCTGTATTTCTAACCCTATAGGCCCCCCACCTCTTCTTGCCCCTACATTGCACATGTCCCTGTCCATATACCCGTATACTACCCTATATACGTCTATACCTCTACACCCTGCTATACTCCTATAATCTCCTATATACTCCCATATGGTAGTTCCCCAAAATAAGAGGACCCCAATATAGACCCCAATATACTATAGTCCTTATTATAAGGAACCCCAAAAAGGTACCCAGCATTTTCGGAAACTCCCTACCTGTATACTGCCCTATTATATATATATATGTCTATACCTCTACATCCTACTATACCCCTATATTCTCCTATATACTCCCATATCCCCCCACCGCTCCAAGGCCTTGAGCTTTTCTTGCACTCGTGGGAAGCGAGACAAAGTTGCTTCGCTTAGCTTTTCTGGTAGCTTCTTGCCGGCATCAAAGGCCAGACAAGCGCCTTAGGAGGTTTGGTCTTAGGTTTGAGAGCCCGGTGCTATAGGAGGATTGTGAGACAATTAAGGGATTGCTCAATCATCTCTGGAGGGGGTTCAGAGGGGCTTCACTACGCCAAGTTTATAAGATGGTGAACTCTCCTTGTCTGGCCACACGATGCTCTCCTGGGTTACCTTATTGACTTCGGTCTGTTGGTGCGAACCCCCAATGCAGATTGTGGTTGTGGAGGTCCATCACAGCTTCCTCTTGGAACCTCAAGTGCTACGAAGGACATCTGGAGACCTACGTGTTTCCTGATACTCAGAAAGCGTGGGGAGCATCATTATAGGACCCGAGAGACAGGATGTGTTTTCGAGAAATCTCCGAAGGCACGCATACAATGGTTTTTCAAAAAGGCCTATACGTCAACTTACCAGAATGACAATCATTTTGAATATCAGGTTCCGCAAGATCAAGGTTGCCCGGGGACACTTAGTCTCACGGTACAGTGCATTACAGTGCCCAGCATGTCTTTGGGCTTCAGGCTGCGGCTTGGGTTGATACTCCGTCAGAATGCAGTGTGACCGCAGACAAGGAACGACCTCAGGCCGTAAAAAGCACGGAATTTAAGCCCTGAGTCATTCCGTCCGAGGCATGTCAGAAGCCAATCTTCAAGCCTCGCAATGGATGGGGACACTGAGCTCACCAGCGGCCATCCAAGGCACAAACATGAAGTGGGCATCTCTTTCAGCAAGAAGTGGGGCATAGTTGGTCGATTTGAATCCGCTTTGGATGTTTCATTTGGTAAGGGCATTTGTTGAACAGCAGAACAGCGCATAAGAACACTACTGCATCATTTAAGCTTCTGGGCTGAGGGCCCATCAAGGAGCCGGAGTCTCTATCCATGTGTTTTGCCTGAATCAAACTTCAGAATCGTTACATGATTCAAGTGTAGTTTGCCCTCATCATCGTGAATGCCACTCGGATTCCTTGGTGCCTAGGTTAAGTTCTGTTGGAAGTATATTGGCGGGGGGTTACGTAACTTGAAAAGTCTTGGGGCATCCTCGAAAATCCAGCGCGATGCGTGCCAGCATGAAGGGGATCCTCATGCTGTTGTATTGCAGGGTCTTCAGTCATGTTTGGGCCCATTTGCCTACAAGGCCTCATTTAAAGATCGCTTTTGCTTTCATTTCGGGGGCTTGAGGGCGGATTTTACAGACGCATGGTAGACTTTTAGCACACAGGGTTTCCGCTTAGGTGGGTTTTTGGCCACTACGATTTGCCCCCTTCCAAGGTACGGGGCGAAAGCCTGGGTCATGGCCCCAGTCGTCTGCAAGTCCTTAGGAGGGACGAGGACCTGCCCGTGACAAGTTGGCTCAACACACACACACACACAACAAGGAAGCCCGATGCTGGGGAATCAGACAGGAGCGTAGAAGGTTTCCAAGCCATTTCGTAAGGGAATTTGAGAGAGACGCTGCACTTGAAGGGGAGGTCGAGAGGCAATGATGAAGCAAAAGGGCGGTTTTTCTAACAAAAAGGTCAGAGGCAGCTGCTGGAACTCCTCCTGGCTTCACTGATTTATGCGTGTTTGGGATATTTTTGGGCTTGATTTGATTTGATGATTTCGAGGCACCAGGCTTCTTGCCTTGTAACCCCTTCCCCCAATCTGATTAATTGAGGTTGAGCACCCCTAATCACAAATATCCCGCCCCATCTTTTCATGGGGCTTTATCGGGAATGTTGATTGAGTGGCATAGGGGATTTATTGCCCAGGGGAGGGTGTTTTTTTTACCAAGCCAGGAATGGAGAGTTACCATTTTCTGAGAGGTAAATTGGTTTCATATACGGCTTTTCTGAGCCCTTCTCAGGATGCGTATACCTTAGAGAGGTAACCACCAGTTCCTTGCGTAGGCAAATGAGTTATATCAGTTGGGCACTGCCTCCACCCAGTAACTATCCGTAGGGTTAATTTTGGGAGCTGAATACAGGCGATAATCATCTTTAGTACAATTGGCTAGACAATTATTCATCGTGTAGCTGTTACTCGGTGGGCGGAAGTACCAAACATATCAGCCACAAGATGAGCGCATACATAATTAAGTTTCGTTGGCAAGCGTCCGGGAATTGTGTAGCCCGTTCTCAGGGATTTCACTGCATGGCGTGATCAAGCGTGTATGATGCAATCTACGATCGTAGTTCACGAGTGGGAAGGAGTGCCTCACGCTTCTAATCTCAAACCCCGACTCCACCTAAAGCACCGTCCTGAAAGAGTCCTACACCCTACGCCCCAATCCTTCAGCTTTACTTCACGCCATGCAGGGTATCCAGGCATGTCTTGCCCTAGACACCTAAACCCTACATCCCCTACACCCCTGAACTAACCCTAATCTCCTAAACCGTACGCCATCTTCATAGCATGATGGGTTCCGACCTCCAAGGTCGCGGCACTCTTGGCAATGTTGTCCAGGCGTTGGATCAGGAAACTGGTCAGCTCTTTGCAGTGAAGGAGGCAAGGGCACTTCTTTTCTCTTACTGGCACTAGTGGTTGGTAGTTAGTAGTATATGGGAATGAAGAAATGCTGGATAAAGGGACTAGTGTCTGTAAGGGGTTAAATAGGTACTTCTGTAGCATCTTTCCCCCATCCCCTGCTCACCACCAGTAAGTTTTTCACTTTCATGTTGTTCGTTCATGGCTGTTCTCAAATCGCGGCAGGGCAAGATGATTTTACATCACTTTGCTGGGTTGGACCTTTAGGATTTTCTTGGATGTTCCAGTATGTATATATATATATATACTGTGCGTGTGTTGCGCGATTGAGGCTCCAGGGCTGCACTTACAACATGCTATAGTTCGAATGTGCTCTTGGTGCCAATATTTTTTGCGCTTGGCTGGGAGAGGTACTGATCAACACCTCAGACGCTGCAGATGTTCAGTTCAAACACGCGCTGGAGAATGAGATCAAGATATGCTCAGCTCTGAAGCATCCAAGACCCTTGGCTGATTTTGGGGTGGAAACTCAAGACAAACCTGTCAGGGCTTTTCGAGGATGCTGGAGACGTTGTATCCAATGGGGTACTCAGGGCTTGTTGCACTTGCAGTCCGAGCAAACCGCGATTCTGTTTTGATCACGCTTTTATTCCCTCGATGTCTTCTCACGTCAGAAGGAAGGAATGTTCTTGATCCATATCCTTTGTTGCTTTGAAACTTCCGTACCGCACATCAGCTGCTTCCAAGGCATCGTGACATACCTTGGCCATGACTCCATAGTGCAGAGCTCAGCGATTCACCTTGCGCCCACGCTTTTCGGAGAGCGCACTCCTGGGTGACAAGTGCAATTGATGAATTTGTGCAAGAGAACGATTTGCGCCGGTAACCTGGCTGAGGACGGGTGCTTGTACATCTACATGGAATACATGATCGGCGGGTCCATGGCCAGCGTGCTGCATCAGTTTGGTGCTTTCGAGGACTCCGTAGAAAGCATGTATTGAGAGCGGTACTCGGACTTCCAAAGACTCTGTCAGGAGAGCTTGGTCAGCAAGTACGCCCGCGACATGCTAGAAGGGTTGGCCTACTTGCACACGCAGGAACCGCCAGCGGCCTTGCAGCATCAGACTTTCCGACGGCGGCTGTACACAACCGGTTTGAGTTTTAAGCTTAAGCCAGCAATGCAAAGTTTGTGTGGACAGGTGCATGTTGAATGTGCTGTAGGCAACGCTCCCTTTTTGGGTCGTTCTGCTGTCATTGTCAGGTGCTACACCGCGACATCAAGAGTGCAGCTTGGCAGCATTGCTTGGGGCTTCGCGCCGGCGCGGTCAGCTGACAGCTGACAATCAATCTGGCAGATTTTCACGTTGCCGATGTGTGAGTAGAAGGATGAAACTGCAAAGATGCAATCAGCGCAACTCTCCCTTGGAGCAGTGCACTTCCATAAATCATCCGGGCAACTCCTGTGCAGTTTGAAGTGTATGTCTGGACGTTATAGTGTTTGCAGCTCTGTGTGAAGCAGCTGCAAGGCAAATGTTCTCATGGGGTACGGCCCCCATGGCGGCGCATCTCGTCAGCATATGGAAGGCCAACTTGCTGTGGTCCTCAAAAAGACATCCCAATAGCCCAGACACTGCTTTCGCTGTCGCCACCTGTTCTGAAACTACGCGGTACTCATCAAGTTCTGAGTCGGGGAAGAGGGCTAGCTCAAATTGAGTATGCAAATAACTTGCCAGGATGCACAAGCATTCGGGGGATTACCATCCCTCCTGCTGATTGCATAAGAGGTTGGCGTATTGTGAGCAGCAGAGATCGAGAGCGCGCAGAGCCCATGTAAGTATTGCCAGGATCTCAGAACTTCTCATACCTCGAACGCACCCAACGAAAGACTAAAGCCCAAAGCCCGAAACCATCAGCTCTACCTCTACCCCCCCTCTCCCTGTTGAAAAGCCCCGTAGTATTTTGGGATCTATATTGGGCCCCCTATTTTGGGATAATATAGGGTACTATAGGGTTATATAGGGATAATGGAAAAGAAAATGGAAACCACGAGAATACCCATCTGATTCCGCCGCAACTCAAGGAGCTCTGCGCGAAGCTGGCCGACTTCGGCTGCTCCAAGAGGACTTTGCGCAGTCCAGCTTGGGTAGTCCGCAGCGTCGGGAATGTACTGTAGGGCTTCAGGTATTCCATCTAGGGTGGAGGTGGCCTCAGAGTAATGATGGATGACAGCTGGGACACATGGGAGATGATCCGGCTTTGTTTCTTTGATAGTGCTTATCCAATCTATGGCGAGATCTCAGCAGTGCCTGCTGAGAGCTACAGCTGCACATTCTGAAAACCTCCCATGGGTGCTGAGCAGCCACCTTCACAAGGACTTGGGTAGCAAACTGTAGGTGGCAAAACGCATGGGCGAAATCGGCCTAAAGTTAGTCGGGGCGTGTCAAGCTTCATGTTCGAACTGGTCATTATCAGCCAACAGCCAGGAACGAGGTCACGCTCTCCCACACCATGAAGGGCTCCATCCCCTGGATGGCGCCTGAGGTGGCCAGCACATGGTTTGTCAATGGCTTCTTATTGGTTTGGCGGTCTGCAAACCTCAGCTAATGGTCCCATTTTTGAAAGCACACTGCGAGTGAAGTCTGTGATCTCATGTCAGGCCGGGCTTTGCGTTCCGGGTTCAGGGCTTCTGCACACAGCTTCTCCACCTCCACGCCTGTCAGGTCGTGAAGAATGTGGGCACTTCGGCAGCAATCGCAATTTCGTTAAGCAGTTCCATCGCATATGCAGACATGACAGCACCCAAGCTCAGGATATGGGAGGATGGCAGACATGTGGAGTTTTGGCTGCGTCATCATAGAGATGGGCACAGCTCAAACACCCTGGGGGCCCCTTGACGTCGCAGAAATGTTTTGGTTTGGGATTGCTTTCAAGACTGCAAGACTCACCCGACCCACCCTTGCTGTGGCAGGAAGTTCGACAATCCCATGGCTGCCATGCACCTTGGCCTTGCTTGGGTTCTATTAAAGACATACTGGCCGGCTCCAGTCAGTAGACATAATTCCCAGGTCCAGAGTCTAGAAGCTGCGAAGCCATACGACTTCAAATAGTATTCTGGCAAACGCAAATCCTGTCCAGAGCAAGAACTCCACCCCTGGCATCTCTGCGAGGTACAAAATCGGCATGTCTGATGAGACGCCGCCTTTGCCGGCTTCATTCTCTCCCAGCTGCCGCGATTTCACGCAGCGCTGCCTGCAGCGTGAGCCCACGCAGAGGCCCGCCCACCTCAGATCAAAGAGTAATCCCTTCCCATAGGAATGCTAAAGACGACCCACCCCCGAATGTTGCTCTCGAAAGGTAGATATACTTTCAACATCTTTCAACGTTTCAATAATTATATCAGGGACCTATTTAGCTCTATGCAGTTGGTCACAGTGATGGACCTGTTGGTCATCATCGCTTTGGATGGAAATTTTATGACCACTTGGTGTCATGGTAGCCATGAGCAACTACTGGGTAGCTGCTATGTTGCCCATGCAGGTACGTTCACCCCACATGGGGATTTCTCATAATGGTACCTAGCCTGTCCGTAATATGAGGCCCACAGAATCTCCTTACATTCCAGCACGTACCTAGATTCTCTGGGTTTGCAAGGTTTTGAGAGATTCCAGTGAACCCTCAACCCGAACCCCTATAGCAATGTGCTGACCCCCTGGTCAAGAGACTGGACCGGACATTCTTTGCCTTGCCTGCACTGCTGTGCGATGCGCTTTTCTAAACCCTATAGTAATTTCCATTTTCTTTTCCATTTTCCCAATATAACCCAATTCAGCCAGGGCTGGCGCGGCAGAGTTATTGGAGCATCCATTTGCAACTCGCCAGCAGCCGTACTTGCCTTTAGTTAGCAGGGAAGGAAGGAATGGACAAGCAAAAATCTATACCAATGGGGATTATATATATATATATATGGTACCCCACCATGGACCTACCTTTGGTGGTTTTAAGCAGATATATAAATATATGAATGGAGGGATTACTATAACTATCCATTCTTTCATCAATATTCCTTGCAAACGTTGGGGCGCATGGGGACCCCAGGGGAAAAAAGGGAAACAAGAGGATTATGGGGAGGGGGGTCCTGTTTTTGGGCCCAAAGGATTTTTTAATCCCTATAAGGAGGAAGGGAACCTCTCCTCATGTTTCGTGCAAGGTTGAAACCACTGGCCTGGAACCCTTAGACACCTACTACAAAACCCTATATGTACCCTTAAGGGTCCCTAGAATCCCCCTTAAAGAGCCTAAGGGCCATTATTAGGGGCCCATACTTCAACCTTAGACTTTAGGCAGAAGGAGATGGAGGCTCTCCTAAGCAGCACTTGAATCCTCAGCCCCAGGACTACCTTGATGTATGAGAACCCACCTGGGGGTGGCCCGTTAGAGGGTTTAGGTTAGGGTTATGGGATTTCCCGAAGTTAAGGATACTACCTCATGACATGGAAACTGGGGTTATACAGTGGCTTACAGGGGTTAGTGGTTAGGGTTTCCCAAACTTGGGGGTACCATTTTAAAGAGGGGTCCCCATAGTAAGGACTATAATATACTAGGGTCTCTACTGTCATTCTCTGTATTTGGGAAAGTACCACGTTTACATGCCTACGCCCTGCCAATGGAAATATCAGGTGCTGGAGGCAGCATATGAGAATGATTGATGCGACAAAACACGTCTTGCCAGAGCTGGTTTTCCAATGGCTGCAGAATTTTGCGCCGATCAAAATTGAGAGTTCCTTGAAACTATGGCTTCCTTCTTGCCGGTGGGTCCCGGGTACTTGGGAGTACCTCAGGGACCTAGTTTTCAGAACTATCCCAAGCGCAGGATGATTCAGAGGCCGATGTCTCTGACGAATCATTCCCGTTGCCCCATCATCACGTACATTTCTATAGGGGGGCAAGACTTTTTTAGCAGTTTGTGAACCTGAGGTGCAGCATGCGGGGAAAAGCAAGGTAGACCCATCAATCCTTCTCCGTGTAAGCATTTGCCTCGTCAGAATCATTGCCTGCCTGGTTCCAATATGGTGCTGCAGTTGGGCGATTGCAATCTTGATATGTTTTGTCTCTCATCATTCCAATCAAGGACAAAGTATTCAGCACAAGTTGCCTGCAGTAAGGTTTACTTTCCTAAGCCTTTTCTGTTCATTTGGGTGGCACGTGCTCTTAGCCTGTTGCAGAGTCAGACTGCGACAGCAGAGCCACGGGCAACCATCATCATCCTGCAGCACAGCTTAAAGTTTCACATCAGCAGCAATGCTGCCTTAGTCTAGGCCCTCCGGATTTCTTGCGATGCTGACTGAACCGCGAAGGCGGTCTCTTCAGCTTTACCTGCAGCGGGATTGTGCTGAGATTGTTCTACCAACGCATAGCGGATTGGCAGTAATTAGCTCACTGGTGGTTAGCAGGGAATTGAGGATTGGATCCCTGTAGTAGTGCTTCTACTATCCCCGATAAATCTTGCCCGCATTCCGTTCCTTCATTCGCTTCTAGCCACCAGTAAGTAGGGCGTGGTTGGGTTGGGAAACCTTAACGCAGCCACGCACGCAGCGCTCTCCACGTTCATGAAAGCCTTTGCCGGGGGGAGGGAAAATTGGGAAGGAGTCGCTGAGGGGTGCTTCAGGGTGTATGCCTTCCCAAAACCAATTTCGTCCAATATTATCACAAGTTGTACAGTGTGAACAAACAATTCTACATTATGGGCAATATATGAAACGGAACTAGCATTTCCACAGGCCGCCCCTAAGCGGACTCCGGACCCAAACGATCTCAGAAGTTCAGCACACATCCATGTGTACTATGGTTATTATAGCGAGGGTCGGAGTACTATGAAGTATACACGGCCGGAGGGCGAGGGGGGCGCCTTGTTTTTGGATATTCCCATGTCATGATCTCCATGCAAACGTGGTCGTTATAACATACCCAGTTTGCTGAGGAAAGTGTGCTAATCCAGAAGGCATGCAACAGTTGTGTCACGCTGGAGGAAGTGGTTTGATTACGGGCAGTAGGCAGTTTTGTAGGGCTGAAAGTGTATGATCGAGGGTATCAAGGAGTAATTAGCAGCCATTCTCCGGAAAAGACTTGTGTTTGGGGTATCTGCAACAAACATGTGGAAGCTGGAAAGGAATGTCAGGACACTCCCCGATCATGCTTGAATACGTGCATTAGAACGATTATCAGAAGCATATCCCAAAACCGATTCTGATGATTTAGAGCCCTACATGAATCACCTCCCCAGATCGCAACCCCACCTGCCACACACACTACCCCCCAAAGGACAACCGCCACAGTATGACACCTTGTAGGGTGGGAGGGGGGTGGGGGGGGGCTTGAGTGTGCCCCAAGCCTTGAGAGGAGTTTGCGTGTGTGTGAGGAGCTCTTGTTCCCCAGCCCAGCCACCTTTGCGAAGCCGTCATCGCAAGCACGAAGTTTGTCCAGGAGCACCTGGGGTTTCATTAAATTACAGGTCCCTTACCATTCGCTTTAGGGTTCAGGGTGTGGTGTCTAGAGTCGCTTACTAATCGCTTTCGTGCTTAAAATATTTTGAATAATTTTGTCGCGGTGGCACCTTCAACTAGATTTTGTAAATTCAACATGGTCACAATTCCAATTCTGTACATGCGTTTGTGTTGCGGGTGGTACCATCATTAAGCCTTCCGTTAGCATGCTTTTGCTGTGTTGCTCTAGAGAGAGTTTTTTCGGAGCTGTTCTCCTACCTCGCCCTGGCTGCCCGTCTGTCTGTTGCTAGCCATCTGCAGGCTGCATGCTAGTGGGACTCACCTGTTGCTGCAGGACCGCATATCCGACGACAGGTGCCCGATCGGTTTCGTCTCCGAACCTGCTAGGCCAGGCTGTCAAGGCTCATAGTCCCCCTCAGGTAGATAGAATATGGCTTTGGGTATATTATAGTGGGATCCCTATTCCCCATATTCTATCTACTTAAGGGGGACTATAGGGTTTTCATGGATTCCCCTACCCCCCCCCATTTCTCACCCTCTCAAGGTTCCTCCTTAGTTGGTGTATGTTGGATTTATGGTTCAGTGGTTTGCCTCCCAACTCGCCATGCTGGATGCAGGCACGTGACCGCTCCTGTCTCATGTTTGGGGATCTCCCACTTGCAGGGCGGTGGGTACATAAGGTGCACTCCTATTCGAAGATTTGGTCACGTATGCTGTCTCCGAACATCCTGTTCTGGGTTCACATGCTTGCTGAAAGGCTTCCGCAACAAAAGCCCAGTTGAGGATTTCCGCTGCCTCATTAGATTCTGCAAAGTCACGCATTGGCAGCTCCCAATCCCATCCAGGGAATCCTACTCTTCCACAAACTCCCATGTCAAGAAACTATCAGGTGGCTCGCACCCGCATCCACCAGGGGCACGGAACTCGGCTTCTGCTCTAACGGGTCATAGGAGACTCAATGGGACAAGTTTGGTAGTCATGTTTGTTCATCGCAGCTCGGCTCCAACACTAACAGTGTTGGTTGTGACTTTTGCGTCCTATTGGCCGTGATTCGTTGTCTTTGAGTAAGAGAGTCATGCGCCTTGTTGCTTCTGCTTAGGAAAAGGAGTCGTCAAAAGCCGTCAAAGCGCTGGCGCCTCATGGAGTCCTCCTGACATGGGGAGGGGAGGCCCGCTAAGGAAGATAAGCCTAGAACCAGCCTTCTCCTCAAAAAGATGCTTCAAAGGAGGGAAGTGTCCTCTGTACTATGGACAGCACGTGCTCTCTGCTAAGCTTAGGGGTCAGCATTACTTGGCATGGTTCGCAGTTTGTGGACCATGGGTGTTGTGGAGATTGGCAGCATGTAGCTCGACCTTTCCTATGCGGAGATGCGGGATTTGAGCGTGTTTAATTGGAACCTGGCACGTCGCGCCAGCAAGAGTGCTGAATGCGCGCCGAGGATTATCGAGGGTATGCTACGGACTTGCTCATGAGTTTTAGCATCCAGCCGGGAAGCCTTGCATGAATGTGCTCTCAACAGGTATTTGCGTTATTTGCCAAGAAGCTCCTATATCCAAGTTACTTTCCACGCCAGTGGCAAGCATGGCAAGCAAAATGAAAAACAGCTCTGCCTCCTCATTCCATTGCCATCTCCCAATTGCGCATGAGGCCGCATAGGCCGTCAGGCCCCTCAAAAGCGGACCCTGCCTATTTCAACAACAACTTCATTTAAAGCGACCTCAGAGAGCTCACCCTAAACAGTGGTTTATATAGGTAGCACTACCAAATGGCCT